GCTGGCAGTTTTGGAACGCTGTCTGGTGCTGGAGTGAATGGCAGAGTCAGCTTGGGCTTTGTGGAATTGACTGTAAACCTGTTTTGGCATAGAAACTGCTTATACTGCTATATGTGAGGGAAACAAACCATGCTTGTGTCTTGTTGCTTGTATGGGAACTGCAGTTCAAATCTTGGGGCTGCCGTCAGTATCCCAGTTCAGTTACATCTGTGCTGCATCTCCAGTGAACACAGGACAATCTCTTGCTAGTTGCTTTTACTCCCTGGTTTTGCCAGTGCTTTTTATTAAACCACTGCCTGTCCTACCATGTACTCCTACTGAATCACCAGTGATGTAGAATGCCTCGTAGAAATTGGACAGCAAGCTTACTATCCAGAATAAAACTTAATAATACTTTGCATTGAAAATTTAATTTATATTTATGCAAACTGTCAAAGTTTACCACGTTCCTTTATCAAGTCAGAACTATGGTTTTTCATGGAGCTTCTCTTTTGTTTCTTTATTGTGCTTTGATGGCAGGGGAGGGAATTCCCTGGATTTGGCACAGATACACTAAAGAATGAAGGAGATAAGAGACTGAAGTTTGGGACTGAATTGCCTTTCTTCTGAGCTGCTTATGAAGTACTGAATTGAGACAGCACTAAGTTTGGAAGTAGGACTTATTTAAAGGCAATGGTTTTGGTGTGATAGTCTGTAGGGAGAGGTTTAATCATCCTTAGCAGTGATTTGGAAAACAGTGTTTGCAAAGGTAGGTGACGTTTTGAAAAAAGGCTACAGTGATTCTCCAGTTTCCAGAGGGAAAACTATAGAGACTGTTATTAGTGAAAGAGAAAATTTGCCATAACTGTCTGGTTTTGCTTTATATGATAATATGAAAGATTTCTCCAGTTTCTAGATGAAATCTCTTCTCTTGGAACTTGGTGATGTGCCACGTTTGGGGCTCAGCACTGACAAAGCTTAAAACTGGAGATAGTAAGAACGGCTACAGGTGTGGGTGGACAGGACCTGCACTGTTAGCAGAGCAGAAAGCTTGTTTTAAAAGACAAAACTCATGATCCCTGAAGGGATCAATATTGGTGTAAGTGTATTCTCTGCATTGCCCTGATATAAATGTGCTTTCCTGATTGGTACCTGAAAGTATCTGAATAGTCTTTAAAAGCTGAATTACCTCATGGTGACCTTTATGGGGAAGAAAAGGCTCTCCCTTTTAAACAACAGAAATGTGTACTCTCAGTGATGCAGATTTAGAAATACTTTTCATTGGAAGTAGTGATTTGTCTAAATCCTGGAGTATTTATTTGTTCCTGATGCAGGTCTAATCCTCATAGTGGAGTAAGAAGTTTTAGAGAAAAGCCATTTAGCTTTGGTGCTAGGCCGAGTAACGACCCCTTATTTTAATTGTGGTCTTGAGCACTTGAGAGAAATGGATTCCCAGAGTTACTGAAGTGAAAAGCCTGCTCGTGTCTTCTTTTAGTTACCAAGTTAGTACAAATGCATTTTCTGCTGAAGAAAATTTTGGAAGAGATGTTCTGGTGAACTGTTCTTATTTCCAAGTCGTAGCTATGACTGTGTCTTATTAGTGTGGTGTTGTTTGCCAACAGTCTGTTTTGATGTAGTTCAAGGTCTTTAAATAGACCTTGTAGGAGAGAACAGAGGCTGAAACATAGAATCTGGAATCAGAGGCAAGCCCCTGTGTTTCAGTGCTTGGTTTCTGAGAAACAAAGTTCTCCATATAGTCAAGGGCATGCTGGTGAAACATGGGTGGGCGTTAGTGTTGCCTGTTGGCCTTGGTTGTGAAGAGCTATGTAATGGCTCCCAGTGAAGGTCGTGTCATACGGTTTCAGCGTTGCTCTAAGGCTGTATGTTTCAGGGTGAAATCATTGAGATCCTCTACTGAGTAATTTATCTTGTGTAATGTTCTACCAAGTATGTATCTGCTTGAGGAGGCTGTTCCAGAACACATTTGCAGCTAATTTCAGGTTTAACCCCAGCCTGCAACTAATCACCACGCAGCTTACTTCTTCCTGCCTCCTCCAGTGGGATGGGGAGGAGAATAAAAAATAAAAAGTCACGAGTTGACATAACAGTTTAGTAACTAAAGTAAAATAAAATATAATAATAAATATAATAAGAATTGTAATGAAAAGGGATATAACAAAAGAGTAAAGCCCAAGAAAAGACAAGTGATGCACAGTGCAGTTACTCACCACCCGCTGACTCATGCGGCCCCTCCCGGCCAGCTCCCCCCAGTTTATATACTGGGCATGACGATCCATGGCATTGGAATATCCCTTTGGCTCGTTGGGGTCAGCTCTCCTGGCCTTGCTCCCTCCCAGCTTCTTGTGCACCTCATCACTGGCAGAGCATGGGAAACTGAAAAATCCTTAAGTGTTTCTAGGGAACAACTAAAACATCAGTGTGTTATCAATATTATTCTCACACTAAATCCAAAACGCACTGTACCAGCTACTAAGTAGAAAATGAACTCTATCGCAGTCGAAACCAGGACCAAATGAAAAAGGCAGCCTGCTAAGCAAGGTACGCTGAGTACAGGGACTGCTGGATCAAGTTAAATCCAGTTGCAGAATGTGAGGGAGAACCCAAAGCAGCCCAAGTTTCGTAACTTGGGAGGGGACGGGGGGGGGAAGACTTTGGAGGAGAGGGCAGTGAAACAAGATTTTTGCCCATACAGTTTCTCCTCTCTTTCAGCTTTGTGATCAGCTACCTTGTAACAAGTTTGGCCAAGTTAGTGAAGTGCAGAGCGTGTGTGCTGTGACCAGTGCCGGTGTTCAGCTCACTCTAGCTGTAAAGTGGACAGTGTTCAGACTTTTTCACAGAATCTGCAGCCTCTGTAAATATGGTTAAATGGTTTCTACTGTTTTTTCCCTTTAGTTGTGATACTTGTATTTTTTTGTAATATTTGACTGAGACTAGTAGTAAGGCCTTCCTCACCAAAATTGGTGTTTATAGGAGCCCTACTGTATGAAATCCTGTTACTGAAGTCAGGAGATGTGTATGTTCCTCTTCAGCCTCATGTAGGTGAGCTGAAATGACTCTGGTTCTTGAGGATTGCAGCTATTACTGAAGGGGACCTCTGCAGAGAGCTTCAATTATATACTTCCAGTACTTTTAGGAGTATATGGTCTTTGCATGTCCCTACTTAGTGAAAAGGAAAACTAAGTTTACTAGGATGAGAGTCATCTTGCAGCTGTAATTTCTATTACAAGTGTTAAACAAAATATGTGTCTTCCACATTTGGTGGCATGAAATTCTATTGCTAGTGTGAAAAAGTGATATTTTAATGATGTAAATCTGTAGAGAAAATACGGATGTTTGAGGTGTGGGTGGATAAACTATTTAAAAAAGAAAGTGTAGCTTTGCACTTGGATTTCCAGTTTTTTTTTTTTAAGTTCTTACTGTTTATTTTTCATGAGAATGTAAAACCCCAACCATCCTAACTTTTCCTTAATTTCCTTCCCCTTCTCCTTTCCCACTTCAAAGTTGCAGAGGTGGTAGGTAACTCGCCCCAACCTCTAGTGATGTTAGAAGGCAATCATCCCTGGCCTGTTTCAGATCTATGCTGGGTGAATACAGTTTGTTAGCAGATACTGTAGAAAAATAACTTTCGATGTTTCGCAGTTCCTAGGTGGCTAAAATGTTTTTTCTTTAGGTGTGAATTGCTGTGTTGTGAATTTAGCTTACAGGCAATAGCATTTTTTTCCTCATACTGTTGCGGGCTACTTTACCTGCAGAAGTCTAAGATAAGTCTGTCTTGGATAAGTCTAAAAGCAGTGCTTTAGGGGAAGACAGCAGACCATCTTCTGGTAGAGAAGTTCCTTTGCAATGTGGTTATGATACTTGAGGTGTTGGGGTGCCTCCTTGGCCAGCCCTTAAAAAGTGTGTCAATGGAGTAGATTTTTCCTGCAATAGAAACGTTATGACTTTCCTGAAGAGCTTTCATTTCTGAACCAGACTTGAACTTAGAGTAGTTCTTCATAAAATAATGTTAATCGTTGTATAGGTGCAGCTCAGTTGGATCATTGCTATTTATGCATTCTGTGAACCAAAATGCTGCTGCTTATTTCTGTTGCCAGTGCAAGTCTCCTTATTCTTCTAGTGTAAGACTGGAAGGTTAGTTTAACTTGCATCCATTTTTTGCATCTTTAATTGAATCTTCAAGATACAGACTTACTATAAGGAGGACAGTATTGAATAAAACTTGTTCGTATTTTTGGATCTTGTGAGCTTGAAGACTACAGGAATGGATCATAATTTGTATCTTCTAATTGTGGAAAATGACTCAAAAATTTGGGAAAAATAGCTTCTGATCAGACTTTCCACTAGACGTACCTTGAGAGAAACTATTTTGGGAAGATTTCTGAAACCTTTATATTATCTGTTGGAAACATGTCTTAAGGAAGACTGTTCTTATTTCCTGGTTAAAATGGTGAAGCGGGAAGAAAGCAATGCAAATATGCAAGCAGTTTAGACAGTCTTCTAAAATTCGTTAAAGAAACTACATATTTCCAATGTTTTTGAACTCTATTGTGTTCAGTGATGAGGTGACATAGTTTTCTCTAGTGTTTCACTAACATGGTAGCTATTGAAAGATTGTTATTGTGTTTGTTTTTGTCCGCTTCCTGTTTACTGGATTCTTTGTTTTCATCAAAACTGGGAGGGGGGAGAGAATATTATGAAACTTATCTCAGTTGTGAACAAACATTGGGTTGCAGAGTTCTTAATTGACCTGGAACTTGGACTGATGGACAAAGGTTGAGCTTCAATCTTTCATGGTCCAGTAGCTACCATTTTGAACACATTTTTGAGTGATTCTGCACACTGTTGCTTGGGAACCCTAGTTTAAGAGATAATTGCCCCCATTACTTTCTGCAAACCAAAAATACAGAGGTCCCTTAACATCTAGCTTTTGGGGATTATGGTGCATAAGCTTATTTTGTGTATGTCTTGATTAGTGATTGATATTTAATTGCATTTTTCAGGGGAATAAAATCAGCAGTGTTGATATTACAAAATGACAAAACATCCTCCGAATAGAAGAGGGATCAACTTTGAGGTGGGAGCCCAGTTGGAAGCCCGTGACAGATTAAAAAACTGGTATTTTTTTAAAACCATTCATATTATATTAACTCTTAAGTCTTTAATATCTTAAACATTTTGTATTGGTACAATATTTAGAGTCCTCATCATTGGTTTGTAGGAAAGTAGTTAATTTCATAAAAGTGTATATACCAGTGGTTGAAATGGGCGATAGATGCTGGTATGTTGTGCTGGCCCTTAAGAAGTAGTGTACTGGTGCTATCTGTGTCTGGGAAATAGGACGACTCATAAATCTAGTGGGACTTCAGACTGGTGCTCCTGAATTCACATGTGTAAGTTCTGTGCTATACAGAGATTGTAGAGCAGACCTGATGGAGAGAGAAATCCGTTGCAGTACAGAATACCCAAGGTAGTTCCTCCGTGCTTCCTTTCCCAGAGCTGTTGTGAATTCGTAGGCTTTAAAGTCTGATTGAAATTGTTGCAGCCTGTGCTCGTTTGAGGGTGGTCAGCTTAGAATTAAAGAACTGGGTGGGGAAACCCGTTCCACACTAAGAAGTCTGCTCTGGAGCCTGTCTTGCAGACTGCAGTTGTGAGGAAAAACACTTTTCTTGACTAACCACTGCAGTAGGAAGGGGGAAGAGGGCCTAAAAGTTACTGGGCCTAACTTTGAGCCTTCTAACTCTGTTCATTTTAGGAAGTCAACTCAAAAAGTAGCATTTAATAATGCTCAGTGAATGAGGCATACAATGAAAATTGCTGGAGTCAAAGACTTCTTAAAGACAGGTATTAATTTGGTTTTCTTGGCTCCTTAAGATGTCTTCTCTCTCCAGAAATCGGCTGTAGTTGACTTTTATGTAAGAGTCTATGTGGGTTAGACATGATTATACTTTAGGCTTTGGAACCTGATGGCAGGTTAAGCGTGCAGAAGTCACAGTGTTGAAAACCATCTGGACATCCCAGAAGGATGGAGCACTGCCTTAGACACAGGGGACTTGTGCCAAAACATCTTGGTTGCATGCAGAGTATTTCTCTACTTCCCAGGTACAAGGGGATTGGAATTGTGAAAATAGTAAACATAGCTCTTCGTGGAAAGAACAGGAAGTACGAACATTAAATCATACTTGCATGTTACGTTGGCTTTCCTCTGTAACCAAGAGTTGCATAGGTCTGAATCTGCATGCATCTTTTGTATTTTTGAGCTTTGTTTATATAGCAAAAAAATAGTCGTGTGTGCAAGAATTGAGATTTCTTAGCCTGTCTGTAAGGTAGGCTTCTTAAAGATGCAGTTTAGTATGGATGGTGTTTGAGTAAGACCAATATCTCATGTCCATGACTATTATCCTTCTGGCGTATGTGGGCAACAACAGTATCTCAAAGTATGGGTGTACAGAGCTCTTGGATGGGAAAACTTGGGGGGAGGGGGTGGTGCAGAATTCAACACCTGCTATACTTTCCACGTACCTCTTGGCTTAAATTTGAATTTTGGCTATGCCTCATGTCCAAAACGAAGCCATGTTGTTTGGTTTTTAAAAGCACTTGTTATTAAGTGACCTGTCTTATGCACGGTGTTTTGCAACTCTTTGATCTCACAACTTAGTTATTAACTCCCTGGTTCTGAAAGTTTTCTTTTGCTTGCTAAGCTTTTGAAACCTGGGTCAGAAAGTCCATGTCTCCTTGACTGGTGATCTGTGTGTATTTCTGTTTTCAGGGTTTGTGAACCCAAATTTGTAAGAGCTGGGGACTTATTTTCTCTTAGCAGTATCAGTGGTGATAGGCTGACACACCTCCCCAGGTGTGGACTTGTAGAGAATAGCAGACTTCTTTTTCTTCCCTGCCACACTGTGAACAGGACCAGTCTATGGTGTGGTTACAATACAGTCCTTTTACGTGGATACAGAACTTTCCATTTGCTGACGCTTGCTTTTCCTAGTGCTAGACCCTCAGAGGTCCAGGCTTTTCTTCCATGTACTTTTGTTGCTATGTTGGCACTTAAACATAGGCAGAAGTCTCTTCTTTCTATGGGGAGCTGGCTTTGATTTCTGTGCTCAGTACCAAACATACCAGGCAATTCTTGGACCGGTATTGCTTCTCAGATGGCAGTAGTGGTTTGGAAAGTATTTCATCTCAGAGCCCCGTTTATCTGGCACTGGCTTGTGCCCTGAAATGCTAGTTCAGGACTTTGAGGGTGTTTGGATGTGATGCCAACCCTGTTGAAGAGGGGGGAAAAAAAAAAAAATTGTGTATGCCAGCAGTGTAGTCAGTGCAGAGTCTGCTCCTTGCCAAAGTGCAAAGTGAATTTTGCATCTTTAGAGCTCTTATTGAAGGTTACTTTGTTGTGTCTGTAATCAAAATGTATTGGATGTGCACTTCAGTTCCTGGTGCAGTTATGTGTCACCTCGTAGACTCAAACTCTAGGGATTACAGTGAGTACTTTTGGTGCTTGTTCTTAGGGCTTGGTTGATCCCTCAAAGCTGCCATGAAAGGCTTGTGACAGTGTCTGTTGACCTCAGGGCACTAAAGGCGGGGAGTTCTGGCCATCGGGCAGTGCCTCTGTGCATGCTCAAAGGTCTCTTGGTACACAGTGTTGGACTTCAGAGGGTGGAGTAGTGGGACTGCTCCAGGAGTGCAGTCCTAAATGGAGAGATCCCAGAGAGGCTAGCTGTAACGATGTACATGCACACCCTGTCGCGGCTGAATTGAGTTCTTGAAATTTGTTGCATTGGCTCGTTTAAACTCTTCAGTGCTGGCTAGCTGCAGACCTCTCTTATGGAAAAGAGGTGGTATGGCTCTGCACTGGTTGCCTGCAGTAGGCAATGACACCTCTTGTGTTACTGATTGTAATGAGACCTCTTCAAGTTCTTCTGTCTGTTATGTGAGTAAAATGGATATGAAGAGACTTTTAATCCTGGTTGAGGGTCTTGAATATTGAAAACAAGAGTAGTATTCTTAGAGTATTGTGCTACCCTGTTAAGGTTTAGATTGAAACTCATTTCATATTGTTTGCTGTGCTCTGACAGCAGTAGTCTGAAGTTGCCAGTCATTGCTAACTCCTGTCTGTTGAGAGTTACACTGTCTGACTTTTTGCTTGTCTCTTGGGTTCTTACCAAAACTAATGCCCACTGTTTAGCCAGTGCATAAGGCCTTGAAAGGTGCAACTTATCATTTCTTTTGACTTGAGATGGAAAACTACTTGTTTTGACCTCCCAGGTATATTGCAAGAAGTTGCGTCTGATTTCAGCTTGTTTTTCGTGGTGTTAGATAAATTTTCAAATCAGTACCAGTTGGGGATTTCTTACCCAGGATCAGTTGGCTGTCTTGAAAACCCATGGAGTCAGCTGAATGCTTCCTTTGTGGTTTGGGGCAGGATGTGTTGGACCATCCCTGGACACATCGTGGTTGTACTTTTTTTTTTCCTTCAGGCCTTGGCCAGGCTTCAGCTGTTGGCCTTTTACTTTGTGTATCATCCTATAGTATGTTTTCTTGATAAACAGATCTGCATTTCTTTTAAGTTACCTCTACGCCTTGGCGTGTTCACAGGCTTTTTGTGCATGTGTATGGAGATGCTGTATTACTCCTTTTCTGTATAGATCTGTGAGGACTTGTGCCTCCTGATGTGGCATGCTTGCTCAACACTTTGAAGGCTAGGGTGCAGACATTGGAGGAAGGAAGCTTGCACTATCAATGTGTGGTGCTCAGAGCTGTTGAGAACCTATGAACCTTTCTTTGTTTTGAAGTTGCCAGCACTGTGTTTTACATCTGAAAGGAAGGTGGTATCAGGGAGGGAGGTGTCTAAAGTTCATGGGTAAATGTAGCACAGCGTCGTAATAGGTTTGCTGTTCCTGTCAAGAGCACTAAACATACGTTTGCTGATGTTGGTTGCCTCAGGAGATGATCTGTTCAGACTTTGTGGGATATTATCCAGGAGCTGGCTGAGAGCTCCAGTTCACCCATGCTGGGTCTCAACCAGGCTGAAATTTGGTCCATTGTCAGCTATGTGTTCCTTGGTAAATCAGCATCTCTCCCCCATCAGGGAGCCTTTAGAAGGTGAGGTTGGGATAGGTGCAGATGGTTCTGGGGTGATGGTGGTTCTCATAGGGAAGGTTCTTCCTTTTATTGGGTATGAAGCAGGGAACAGTCTTGCATCATAGAGTTAGTTGGCTCTTGTCACTTGTGCTTTTCTCCCCTCAGTGGGAGAAAGTTAGTGGATTGAATGTGTTTACGAGAGGTGGTTATCTGCATGGATTGGATTGTTAGCTTTATGTTGAGTTGGTACTCTGTCATTTTTATCAGCTTCTCGATCTTTGAGAATCTGGACAAGCCCTAGGCCCATTGCAGTCCTGATGGAAAAAGCATCCTTCTGGGTAGTCTCTTGTTGAGAGGACCTCAGAATTCTTACCTCTGGTTTTACTGTACTTTGTAGGGAACTGGATGCTAATTTTTGTAACTATATGTACTTAGTGATAGGTGTTTGCTGAGATACCTAAGAATAAACTACGTTTACTAGAACTATGTTGTTATATGTGGAAAGACTGTGAATAGTCCCCTCTCTTGAACCTGTGCAGGGCAGTGCTTGAGGTTACCTAAATATGAAATATGTTGACTGTCACACAAAGGAAGTTACTGCCTTCCTAGGAAGCTGGTAACCAGTTAGAGATTTCCTCGCCATAAATGTCTCCCATTTGTCTTCCTCCCCGCCACAGCTTTTGCTGCATGTGTTTTGATAATTTAATGGGATGAGCTAGTGGCATAGCTTAGGCATGTGGCATCGTGCGTTAGGCAGGGCCTTAGTCTGTGCTTGCAGTGTAAGTCTCTAGTGTGGCCTATTTGTAGCTCTTTTTGAACAAGTCATGACTGGACATGTCTCAGATCTGCGGAAGAATTTCAGTTGTAGGTAGCTTTTCACCTGTGTAGGATTGTAGCATGGTAGTCTGTGTTGAATTTAAGTCTTAATTCTGACATGTCTGGGTTTTATTTTTAGCATTAGGCTTGACCCTTTTGAGATGCCATTTCTTTCTACCACATGTTCTATCTTTTTAAGTGTGATTTATCAGGTAAAGAATACTTGTGGATTTGGCTCTTTTTTCTTCAGCTGTGTGTTCAAGAATTCAGTGGGGCCTTGCCTTTGTTCCACAAATAACTGATAACACTGACAAGTGAAGATTTTCTGCTGGTGCTATTGTGGAGGGGAAAACATCAATACTTGGGATGTTATCTTCAGTTGGGATAGTGAAATATGCTATGGTTCTGAAATACTTACTGAAGTTACAAATTACCAATGCAATTAAAGAAATGCATAGTTTGTAAGGTCTTCCTGATTAGAAACAACTGAATTTGACTCGTCTCAGAGTCTTGTACTTCTAATATACTGAGAGATTTTTACTTGAAAGTCTCAGGACTTTGCAGGTGAAATTGAGAATCTAAAACTTAGGTTTAGTATGTTTGCTAGACTTTTGCTGCAACACTGGGAAGGTGATTCATGATGCCTGTTGATGGATATCTCGTGAGAGAAGTGAGTGTGTTGACCTCCAAGTATTACTCTTGATAAGACGGAGCTTGAACTATCAGTTTTGTGAATATGTGAAATTTCTAGGTGTAGGG